TGGTCAATTTCCTAAATCAAAGCCCTAAATCAGAATTCAGAAATCCCTAAATTACATTTATTGGGCAGGAACCGAACAAGAATCATAATTGATTAATTGTATTGTACATAAATCCAATTTAAGAAATAGAAGTAACAAATTGCAGAGAGGCAGGCAGCAAAGCAGACTAGGAAGTAAGCACTAAGCAGTTACTGAGTTACGGAGAAGAATTCAAAGAAATTTTTTGAGTAAAGCTTCTAACCTTCAAGTCAGTAAAAATGGTCCGCCCGAGTCCGGCGTCGGCTGTTGCAGTCGCATGGAGGCAGCTCAGGCAGGAGGCGGTCCAGGTGGCCGACTGGCCTGTGCGTGCACTGCATGGGAAAGAGTAAGTTTGTAATGTAATCTATAGAAGCAAGGAACTGGTGGCCGGTGGCAGTGCACTGTGCGAGAGTTTGGCTGCCGGAGAGTGAGAGACGAGAGTCGAGTGAGAGAGAGAGAAATCGTTGTCTGCCAAGCAGGGAAGAAATGTTAGGTTTGTGAGTTGTGACCTTTGTCTATTTTAATTTTGACCTAATATTTAAAAAAAAAATCCTAAAAACTGGGGGGTCAATTGACCCTGCATGCCCCCCCCCGGTCCGCCAGTGGTGGGAGTGGCTGTAGTTGTGGTTATGGGAGGCGATCGTCGGTGGTTGTGGCAAGCGACAAGGGGGGGTCTCTGTCAATCTACTATTCAAAATGCATTATTTTCTCCACGGTGGGGCTCAAAATCTAATTTCATCAATTTATTCCGTTAGATAGGTGCGTACTTTGCACATGACATGAAAGAACAATTGCACTCAAATTTTGAATAAACAAAATAATAATAATAATAATAATAATAATAATAAAGAAAGGCAAAGAAAAAACTAAAAAACACAAAAATGAGGGAATAAAAATACAAAAAATGTCCTTTCTTTCCCAAACCCATTCTCTAGCGAAGTCCCTTCCGCCACCACTCCCCTCCTCTCCTCCTTCCACGTTGCAGCCATCATGATCTTTTGCTTATCATCCTTTACTAATTTGGTGGATGTGCAAAAGAAAGTGTAAAACCCTCCACCACGGTTATAAGTCAAATTCTCATTAGCCCGATTCAATATTTCCGTCTAGACAATTGTAACATGTTGGACACCTTCAAAACATATTCTCCATCTGTAAATATTCAAGACAATTGACTCGATTACTTATTTTTCAAACACTAACTTCGATAAATTTTGTAGTATGATATTAGGGCCCGTTTAATTGTAAAGATAGAATTTGGGTGGAAAAGAAAACGAATTTCAGGGAATTAAATTGCCTAGAAATTATTTTTTTTGCGATTTGTAAATTATTGTATTTGATTGGTATAATTTTTCAAGTGAAAAATGTTGAAATAAAAGTATTTTTTGATATTCGTTTGACTTTGTTTTACATGAAAATTATCAATTAAAGAGATATAATTTACTGGTATTGGGAATAGATATTGTTTCTATTGCCAAAAAAAAAAAAACTCAAGAAAATCATTTATCTTTTAATGTTCGTTTGGCTTTGTTTTGCATTAAAATTGTCAATTAAAAGATTTTTTTTTTTTTTTACAATTAGGAATAGAATTTGTTGTCATTGCAAAAATAAAAATACAAAAGGAAAAAAAATGTTAACAGTAACCGGGAAATTCAATTCCCACCATATTGGTGGAAATTGATTTTCAAGTAAAAGATGGAATTTGGGTGAGGTGGCAAGAAAGATTGAAAATGATTTCCCTAGAAAAAAAGTCTATCAAACACCATAAAAAGTGGAAGTTGGAAAATGATTTCCATTTTCCATGGAATTTAACATCTATCAAACATGGCCTTAGTCACATTTGACAAAAAAAAGTGGTGGTGTATAGCGAACTAGGTAAACCATACAATCTCAACCATCTCGAATGACCATCTAGATAAATATACCTTGCACAATCCATGTAGAGACTATGACCAAGCTATGAAATAGCGACTTTCTTCCTTTAATCAATTATGACTTTCAAATGCTGGTCAAACTCGTATTGGACCTTTTCTCGAACTATATCATTTTGAACTTCAACAACTCAATTCCCTTTGACAAGAAACACCAATAAAGTCTAATCTTGTATTTCTCTAAAAATTCGACCAATGTTTTTGATATCGGATTGGATTGGATTGAATCGATTGGTTCAATCGATAATATTTAAAACTTGAGGAGTCCAACACTAATTTTGTTTCAAAAGTGGTAACCTCAGTCTTACCCACACGTGCCCTTGTAATTCGAACAGTAGGCGTAAAATCTTTTATGGAAATGTCAGCGATATCCCATAATTTATCTTTCTAACAAGTAATTATGAAACATTGAGTTAATTGGAATTGGGTCACGTTTGGAGCTCCAGAGAAGAACTCGGGTTACGCCTGAATAGAACATGGAGGGAGAGAGCTCGCAGCCATCGAACAGAGGAGGTGACAATAGTGGGTCCGGTCCATCCGTATCAGCTATCCGGGTCAGGTCCAGACCCGACTGCTTCTTGATTATCTATCGATGCTTCCGCTTGATTACTTCTCTTGCGGCCATTCTCTGTATTGCTGTAAATGTTCTCTCCGCCGTCCGATCTTTCAAGAACGGATCAGATGTAAATTTGAATTACTTCGGTATTTTCTCTATATATTTTTTAAGAAGTCTAGGTTAAGTCCAAGTCTGATTGGTTTTGATTCGTTTGGTGTAGGTATTTGATGGAATATTCCGGTGTTACGCGGTGGTGGTTGCTATGTTTGTGGTGGCGGCTGAGACAGAATGGGGATTCATCATGAAGTTCTGGAAGGTTCGATTTTTACTATCAAAATCAATTTTTATTACTATATTTATTGTTCAAACTTGGTATTTTGAACCTGATTCTTGCATAATGATATTTCCATTTCAATTTTGAGCTATGCCCGTATAAAGCAAATTATTTATTGTTTCGTGTTGTTTTAGGATTGCATTGAGTGAGGGAATGATATATTATTCACATTTATGCAATTGCAATTGCAATTGCAATACATCTCTCACTTTGTGGAATGGCAATATCAAATAAGAAGTTAACCTTTAGAAGGGGGTGAGCCAGAAAAATTTTCCAGTGGGGGCAAAATTTACTGTTAAATTTGAAGTATAAAAAAATTCTGTTTATAACAAAGAGACTCGTACAACCATTTTTATGACAAAACACACCTTCCACTTCAATAATTTAACATCTACACAGTGGAAAATACTTCACTTCCACTATTTTTTTTTTCCACCAGTCCATTTTTCTCTCTTACTATTTCTCCCAAAAATCTACAGAATGGCGGTAGACATTTTTCTCTCAAGCCCTATTTCTCCCACCCACTATTTCTCCTAGAAATCTATAGAATGGTGGTGGACACTGAATTCTACATATTATTATATTCTTGTTTCATGAAATGAGGGTAAATATGAAGTCTCTAGAACTTCACAAAAAGGCGATGCTGCATCTTTCATTCACAGTTACACAAAGTTGAGTGTTGGTGTTGCAGGCATAGTAATTCTTTAACCGGAGCGGCCAAAAGTTGAGTGCAGGCACCGGCCTACACTCGACTATATATGGCTCCGCCCTTGACCTTTAGATCTCTTGAGCATGCTTGGCTAGGCTTAAAAAACTTACTTATTTACTTTGAAGTGACATAGCTGCTAAGAAAACATCCGAACTAGAAAAGTAACTTTTAAGCCCAACAAGATATGCTTCTTGAGTCTCAAAATTAAGACATTTTCTTTGAGTTCTCAAACGGAATATGTATCACCGTGATTCAGAAATTGCTAAATTATGTTACCACGTTGATTCAGAAGGTTTGCTAATTAGGTGTAACATGGAACGTGTTAACTTCTATTCCTTGCATTGCATGCTTCCCTGTAATTATGTAGGCATTAGATTCAGCGGTTTATTTCCTTTGAACAAATATATCCCCAGTTTGGCCCCTATTAATTTTGATTATAATGGGGGAATAGTATTTTTTTTTTTTTGAAAAATGGATAGTTGTAAAAAAAAAAATGAAAAGATTTCGATTTAAGTGTAATATTATTCTATCGAAGATTCTGTGGTTGAAAATAGGAGAAAGAAAAATTTAGTTTAATTTGATGAGATTTAATGGAGGCCAAACAGGGGCATAGTAATTAGAAAAACTAAGTGACGTAAAATTTGAAAACTATAACTATAAGCAGGCATATGAGATCTTGGTGTTGGAGTACTCATTAGAATGACTTTAGACCTATCAAGAGCCATAAATTCTTAGCCCTTGTTTGAGCCTCATTTTGGGAGAAAGGATGAATTTTTGAACAGTGCATTGATGGGAAATGTGTGGTTAAAAAATAAGGAAAAATTTTGGATTTGCGTAGAATATTATTTTATTGAAGAATGTGTGGTTGAAATGATATTAAAATATTGATGAAAAATGCATTTTTTTCCAATGAATGGGGCTCAAACAAGGGCTTATTGTCCTATCATTCCGCTATTAATTAAATCATATATATAACAGGAAAAGAAAAAAAAGAAAAAATCATAGAAGGATATAGAGGTATTATGTCAGATAGGCATCGCCGTTGTAGAACTATAGACCAGGGCCTTATGTCCTATGCCGAAAATAACCCACAAAACAACCTGGTGTGCTGGGCCAAATAAGGATAGCACCATCTCAGGCATCCCGTCTCTGCCCTTTTTACACTGGGAGACCCATTTGCCAAGATATTGAATGCATGCTCATTAAGCTACAGAATGGGGACTGTTGATTTAATTTTCTCATAGCAAAACGAAATCAGTGTAAGGAAACAAATAATTGATAAAAACTAACAAATGGGAGAGAAAACCCTGAATGAGTTATTTACACCAGTGAAAAGAGATGAATGATACACAAAGATTGTAGCACAGAGGTGAAAGGCACTAATCATGTAAGGAAAACTAGATGGGGACCTTCAGGTCTGGGTTACCACATATAGATGGGAGAGAACAACATAAGAGCCCTGAAATCAGATATGGGTCGGAGACATTAAGAGATCACTCTGCCAAGCTTTGAAATCAGTATAAAAGGAATAGAAAAACCAAACATTACTAGTGCTGTATATGTAACGGGTTGGGAAATTCACAACGGCCTTTCATACTGGTGTTTGTTTTGGCCATTTTTATTTTTCTTTTGCTTTATCGTTTCAGCTTAAATTGGCTGCTTGAACTTCATCTAGCATTTGATAGCTGGATTTAAATATTTGCGAATATATTGCAGGTCCTGGAGTATTGGGCTGGGAGGGGTATGCTCCAGATATTGTACGTTTGACTTCTAATCAAAGATTAACTCACAACTGTGCCCCATCTTTCCGTCTTCACTTGTTTAGGAACTGAATTTTGGTCTTTAGCCATAAGTTGTATTAATTTTACATGGATTTTTCCCAGTGTTGCAGTGATGACCAGGGCTTACCCGGAGTACTTTGAGAAGCATCAAGATCTCTTTCTTCTTCAGAGCATAGCCAGCTACCTGCTTCTTGCATGTGGTGTGATTTATGTTATATCTGTAAGTTCAAGAAAACATCATTATGGTAGACAATAGTTTACATTCCAGTCAGCGATAAACAATTTATTAGTTAATCATTTGATGCAACTCGAAATCTTCTAATTCTTTTCTTTAGGTGAACCAAAGTTGATTTCGTGCCATTTTTAACCCAATACTGATGATGTCATTTGACTCATGAATAATACGTCATCTTGTTGAGAATGTGGTAGTTCGTTTCATTTGTGTACATGTACCTATATTGATTTCAGATGCATAGTAACTTCTTCTCTGATATGTAATTTTATTTTTTTATCTTTTTTAGGGAATTTTATGCATTGGTGTTTTCAAGCGTTATCGCCAGAAGAAAGAATTTTCAAGGGATCAAGCAATTAAGGATCTCCAGGTGATCTGTCATTTAGGAGAAAGGACAAATCATTTCTACTTTAATGTCTAGTGCCATCTTGTGTCATCAAACGTGCCCTTAGTGAGATCAATTAATGAAAACATGCAGTCAGCAGTATTGTTCATTTTAATTGAATATAGTTCCTTTCCCCACGAAAAATAGGATGAAAGAAATACAGACTACTCATACTTCTTTGAATTGGTTTCTGTACTAGCTAATACATGTTTTCTCCCATTCTTCAGGGGTATTTATCTTTCTATATCAATTACAGGATCTGGAGCGCCGTAGAGAAGAACTTGAGTCCCTGTTGATTGTAGAGGGTGCTTGAATGAGATTGGAGACTACGAATAAACAAGAACACCCCATTTTTCAACCTAGATGTGCAGATTTTCAAGTTAGAATGATAATTTATGTAACCTCTCTATTTGTATAATTGCATAATTTTCTTGACAGCGATTAATTTTCAATGTTGAATAGAATACTGCAGCTAGATGTACAGTTACATGATAACATCTGCAGAGCAAGTTTTGTGAAAACAATCTGTTTTATTGAGAATGAGAATTTACATGTTTTCCGCAATTCTGTTTTATTGCCATTTGCTCTGCAATTTTATTTGAAGCGCCAGGCGTCATGTGAGTACAAATGCATTGTACTCGTAATGAGGATTCTTGTTGTTCTTGATGTCGAAATATATATTGCCTCATTAGTCGTATGGACCATAAAATTTGGAAAGAACTGTTTTATAGCTGCTGAAACATTTGAGCAATAGTATTGACATCGAGCATGTTTGATACTCAGAATTAAACCACAATAATGTTTCTTTGTGATCAGTAGGCAAATCATCAAATGAATAAAGGACCGAAACAAGAACATGGTATTTTTAGGCTTCATGTTTTTATCGCGAGCAATAGCAGAGACACTGAACAGGTTTGATACACAGAATTAGATCGCATGATTTCTTTGTATCTTCATCAGCTTCATGGCTGCTTGCTTCATCTTCTGGTGAAGAAGCAACTTGCTCCTCTGTGGCATCCTATTTGGAAAAAATGGTCAAAAACAGGATCAAAGATCAAAAATTCCGCATAAATGGATCAACTACCATGGCACAAAGGACCGCTTCACCACATAAAGAATACAGGAGAATACTGTTATAATGAGGCATTTTAAATCAACAACATTGAACAAATTACGAGAAATATTAACGCTGAAAATGTGTTAATATTATTATTATTATTAATTTTTTTTATGCATTGAAAAGTAAATGCCAACTGCTCAAAAGAAATTACCTCAATTGGCGACGTGGGATTACTGGACTGTTCCATGGACACTATTTGAAACGTACTCGGACCCATAGAATCACCACAAAAAAACTTTGATTCTCTGAAAGTTTGCTGCCACCTTATAATGGTTCCTATTGATGCTCTTGATAGACAGTTGTGGTTATTAGGAGACGAAGCATCTCCCTTGGCATTATCTCTGACAATTTTATAGATCAACTTTCTGATATGATCAAGCTTTCTAAGGCACACCTCGTCAGGTGGGAACCAGTTCTTTTGAAGCTGCAGAGAAAAATAGATGTTGTTGCTATATTATAGTTTGACCCCGAAAAAAAAAAGTGAGAAGCATAATCGCATCCTTTCTGCTGTGATAACCATAGATGTTTGAACATCAGACCAAGTCTAGAAAACATTTATTTTATATGGGAACTTAAGCATGTTTGAACAATTAGCTTCCACACTGAATAAAGCTACTCCAAATCAATTGCTCAGAGGTCATACTTATGATGTGCAATGCCAACTGAAAGAAATTGTTCCTCTTAAAGAACATATGAGGACTCTCGATGTGAGAAGACACTGTCAACTTGATTTGCTAAAAAATGGGCTTACAGTCAGACTGGGGAAAAACAAAAGTAGAGAGTCAAAACTAGAGACTGTTTCAGTTGATGTTTTAGGGAGACTAACAATATTCGAGGTCCAGGTTTCCAATGAGATAAAACAATTTACAAAGTTTGGACATTTGTTTAGAGTTGTTAGGCTGAAGTTACTGGGAATTTGCTCCAGAAAAATTTCTGCACAGTGAAGTAAGAAAAGGCCACAATCGAACAAGTTTTCCCGCTGTGGAAGCTGGAATAACAAAACCAAAAAGACTAATATTAACAATAATGATAGGTATCGATGTCCTTGTATAACGAAAGGAGGAATACGAGACAGTTAAAATGATGAAAATACATGGCAGGGTGCATTCTTATATTCTGTAGTAGTAACTTAGAGCATGTTTGGTTAATGTTTATAAACTGTTTATAAACGGTCAAATCGCTTTTTATACACATTTTGTAGAACATACAAGTATCACCAACTTATCCACTACTTATTTCATCTATTTATGATTTAAACTATTATAAACACTTTCAAAACCAAGCTGTTACATGCACCTTAGAACAATTTGGATTCCATATACCAATAAATTGACTGAAAAAGGAAAAGTTAAAGAAAACTATCTGTCAAGATCTACTATGACAAGAAAGCTGGAGAATTATTCTTTGACATAAGCTTCACCTGCACGGTCATCATAGTGTGTTAATTTGCAAAGTCAACGTTCAAGAGAGTAAAAGCAACATATTTTCATTTTGGTATTAGTTGAAAATGTAGGAGGGAGCATCTGTAAACTCTAAATTTTCTCTGGACTCAGTAATGTTAATAAACTTTCATACTCTCGAGGTACTTTTAAAAATGGAATAGTTAAAAAGGAGAAATTCCACTTTAACTTGTTCAATTGTTAATATTATCACAATAGCCTATTGAGTGATAAAAGACAAAATACCCTAAAATGTATTATACAATTACAAAAGATGGATTTGTTTAAAAGACATTACTACCCTTTAGTTAACAAATAAAATCAAACACTTCCCACTTAAAATATCAAAATCAGCAAACTTTTCATATCTGTTTACTCCAACACAGATAAAAATACTTTTATCTTTCATCTGCTTCAACCCCAAGATCTGAAAAATTCATCGAACGCGGTAGTTGAAATTTTTTTTTACATCAATCTCATCAAATCAAAAAATTTATAATACGCACATTTAATTTTGTTTTCGTTAAATTATTTTTACGTTTTAATAGATAAAATTTATTTTGATATATAATGTTAATGTATATATTTTTTTAATAGATTTGTGAAAATTTTAAGCATTTGACGAGGAAAATTCATCTGCATTTATTGAAAAATTAATCTGCAAAAGTTTAGTGTGTTTATTTTTTTTGACAGCCAAATTTGAACTGCTGGCTTTCCAGTTAACTATTGAAAACAGTCGGTTGGACAGTCGAAAAATAACAAACAGCAGGAACAGCAGGACCTCATGGGCTGGATCAAGTGGACCGTCCTCTAACTCTTCGCGTGTGATTCCCAATAGTGAGAATTTGTATGTCGAACAACTATTTGAAACGAAAAAAGATTTGCAGGAAGCTATGCACCTAATTGCGCTGAAATACAATTTCGAGTTTAAAGTGAAAAAATCGAAGAAGTCGTTGTTGACAATCGCCTGCGTAGACGACAGTTGCTGTTGGCGTTTGCAAGCGACGAAGATGAACACGAATGAGTGCTTTGTAGTACGCAAGTACACACTGGAACATACTTGTGAAGTGGGATTACGTCGAAATGATCACAGGCAATCTCAAGCTTGGTTTATTGGTCGACAGATAGTGCACAAGTATCAGAATCAACGTACGATCTACAGACCATTGGACATTATTAACGACGTCCATCAAGAGCACAGAGTAGTCTTGAACTACCAGAAGGCATGGAAGGCCAAGGAATGTGTGTTTGAGGATTTAATGGGCTTTGCAGAGGAAAACTATGCTAAATTGACCAGGTATAGCTATAACATGAAGAAAACTAATTCTGGCTCGAAATTTTTTATTGAGATGGAGGGTGGGAATTGCTTCAAATTCTTTTTCATGACTCTTGGACAATACATTCGGGGATTTTGAAATGTAATACAACCCCTAATTCTAGTTGATGGTACAACACTAAAATCTAAATATCAAGGCAAGTTGATTATTATTACATGTTAAGATGCCAACATCCAAATTTACCCTCTTGCGTTCGGTATAGTTGATAGTGAGAATAACCTGTTGATGCGGTGGTTCTTCACAAAATTAAGGAAGTAATCGGGGAAGTCGTGGACCTTGCATTTGTAACCGATCAGGGATAGCATTTAATAAATAGTATCGCTGAAGTTTTTCCAAATGCACATCATGGATATTGCATGTACCATATTGAAGGCAATCTGAAGACTAGGTATGAGGACAAAGGTATCGTTTCATTGTTCTGGAAAGCGGCTAAAGCCTACAGTGTTAAAGAATGTAATAAGTTCATAGTTGAAATAGGAAGTAAATCATTCGATGCATGAGATTATCTAATGAAAATGGTAATTGAACATTGGGTGCGCTTATTTTTTTCAGGACGTCGATACGACATGATGACGTCAAACAACTCGGAGTTTCTCAATGCATTATTCAAGAAGGATCGAGAATTACCCATCCTTACACTGATTGAGAATATTCGTACCAAGCTGCAGCAGTGGTTTCACGATCGACGTGCGAAATTATAGAATTGCACGAGCGTGTTAGCCCCGGTGCAAGAGGAAAGGCTATTCAAAGCTGCAGAGAACTACTAGACAAGTCACGCTTCTCAGTGGAATGTGCATGTAATACGACATAAATGGTGAATTTGACTGATAATACATGCACTTGTAAAAAATTTCAGTTGCAGACTTTTCCATGTGAGCATGCAGTCGCGGTTGCTATGTATCGAGGATTTGAAGCTAAAACATTGTGCTCTCATTATTATACGACTGATTATTGAAGAGCTGCATATGCTGAGACAATATTTTCTCTGTCGAACGAAACTGAGTGGGAAGTCCCCTACCATATTCGCTCACTTAATCATTGTCTCCAACCTCTCATTGAACCGTGTGGTCGTCCACGTCCAAGTACATCTAAAATACCATCTACAGGAGAATTTCCTCGACCACGTAGGTGCAGTCGGTGCAAATCAATAGGGCATACTCCCCAATATTGTACAAGTCATGCTTCTCTAAATGACAGTTATATCATTTGGTAATATTGTCCATCTAAAATAAATAGTGTTTGCATTTATTTCGTAATTTAATAATCAATTACAGTGTTTACAAATATTTCATAACTACAAAAAATCAATATTTATAGTGTTTACAATTATTTCGTAATTATAAAAAATTACAATTAATAATTATAATAAATTTATGGATCACCATTAAAGTAGAATAAGTCGCACGCCAACTTAATCCGCCAACTTTGTATCTAGGATTGGTTGATTCTATCAACCCTATGTGATATACTCAAAAATTTGAAGTACTTTATTGTAAAAATGACACAATCACCCGTGCAAATGAACAATAATGAGTTAGATCAGTACTGTGCAGCAAAAAAATTAAGTATTAAATTTTAAAAATTTTAGAACCACTTACGATATTGTCTGCCTTGTCGTCGTCATGTCCCGCACGACGGCAACCCTATCATTCATAGTCAATCCCGCTT